ATCCTTATTCTGATGTTTGCATTTTAATAAGTTAAATCAAGTAAATCTTAATTCAATTAACTATCACTTATTTTTTATTATTTGACTAATAGATGAATTGCATATGTATCAACATATTAAATTATATYGTTTTAATTTTTTGTTAATTTATTTAATAAATTATATTTTATAACGGCCAATTAGTGAATTTTATGATATTTATTTTTAAATCATCTTTGCAAAGTTTAAACCAAATAATTAYCTTCATTAGTTCTTGTWATAGCTATAATTCTACAGTTCATTTTACACTTCATACAAGTTGTCCTTAAGTCTTAATATGATAATCACAATAGCGACTTACTAAAAAAAAAAGTTTCKTCATAAGGAGATCAATTTACAGTAAACATATTATGAAGTATAATATTTTATTATACATTCAACAAATTTAATGAAAGTTTGACTGTTTTATTTTATTATTATTATTATTTTATTTTAAACTTCGACAACTGAGGTTATTAACAGTAGGCTGGTTGATACTGTTGGGTTTTTGGGCTGTGGGTTTTTGGAGCACCTATGTATTTGACAAAATTTCTAGTGGGCACCATTAGGTTTYTGTCGTGTCCAGGCAGGGAATGGYGAACTATCTTTATTATAAACGAAAAACACATATTAAAATTATTAACATTTTTTATCGACAATATTATGAAAAATTAAGTTATCATTTTTTAAAACCACATTTATACTATATTTTTTGTGTGATAAAWTKTTTGGATTTAACAACTATCTTTTATTTAATGATCACTTAATTTTAATCTTAAACTAATGGTTGTTTAAATATTCAATTTTGTATTATATYGACTCACCATCAAATGGATTTCGCATATTTTATCGATTATCAAATAATCTTAATATGAAATATATTATATTAATGAAATGTTCAACTTAAAACTATCTGGTGTCCTCATTAATCTCGTTTTATTCCAGAAGTCTGTATACTCAACAATTTTTTCATTAGTTGTAATGTTAATCAACACTGATTATATATAACCGCATATATACTGCATACTATCAAATACAGATAAATAACTAATGACCCAATAAGTATTCAATTTCACCATGGAATTATAGTTCCAATTAAATAATGTTTATTTTTATTTAGATCGTTTTAATTTATTTTTATAATTAAAACCAAATAATATGTACGTACACTCCCTATTTAAAAATCATCTTAAAACCACAATTTAAAATTAATTTAATGAAAAAATGAACAAAAAAATGACTTAATCCTAAATCATGGTTAAATAATATTTTAGTAACGGAATAATTACTATTGCAATAGGAATTTAATGATACGTACTAATTTTAACAGTATTATCCAGAAATTGTAGGTACTATATATATATATTACATACCTACATATTATAAATTAACTGATAGATGTTTTCGTATACCTACCAAAATTGAATAAACCATTGAAAGTGTCAATCCATAATTTGGAGTATTACAACTCGATACTTAGGCATATAGGATAAACCATACTACATTCTGTAAACTGCATAATGTACATTATGTATCATATGGATCGATAAGAGTAGTTGTGAGTATATTGGTGCACGACTAATGTTGGGGGAGTGGTTTTATATATAAATATATTTTTTACTTAAAACAGTTAAAACCACACGACCAAAAACTCCTAGCAACGAAACACTTTTATCAGATCATTAGAATAATGTGAACGATATCCTACCTTTGCCATTGCCACAGCGGGAAACGTATCCCAAATCAATTGCTCCTCTTCACCTTTGTTGCCCCGTCTCTGTCCTTTGAATATCCTCGATGCGGTCAATGTAGACGCGCCCATTCCATCGCCGACCAAAAACACCACGTTTTTCGCTCTTCCCATTTTACCCTCAAAGTTAGCCAACCGTTTTTTCAATGCGGATCGGGCTTCTTCGTACCAGTGATCGCGATCTGGAAAAATATTTTTATCATCAGTAAAATATTTTAGCTAGCTGTTACATAGATTAATATTACACTGTAAATTAATGCCAACCGGATATATAAACTATAATTGATAGTACTCGAGTCATGAAACTTATTATTTTATTACTGTATGCTATRCAGATTGATTCTTTTATCATGAACTACTCATTATTTAAAAAAAAATTTTATGAGTTATAAGTATTTATATGCAGTTATATGAATATTTAAATAATAGGAATGGAGAGATACGCGGCCACACTGACCACAAAATGTTCACAACTATTATACTCATATATAACTTAAATACTTATAAGTTATCATAAACTACTCGACCTAAATTTGATTTTTATGTATTGGAATAATAAAAAATCATTCTGAATATTAGGTTATAAAATTAAAACTATATATTATAATCATACAAAAAAGCAAAAAAAAACTGAATGATGAAGATAAAAAATGTAGTTTTACTACATTTTTTTTTTTTTTTTTTGAATGACTATAGAAACCATGTAAGAACTTTTTTACAAAATCATTAATACTTTTGAAATAACCACATGGCATAAGTACTAAAACACTATATTTTAGATACACAATAAATCTATTTTTTTCTAATTTATCCACTAAATGAGTACCTATATATTTGGGTTAGTAATACTTAGTTAATAATRAAACAATGCATTGATTCGTTTGCGGTAAATATTATATTAATTAAATTAATCCAATGCATTCGTTTTTAATTGGAAATCTAAAGACAATCGAGTTTAGAATGACATATTGTTAAATATTATTTATAATCAGTACATTTTACATAGTTAGTATATATTCATAAGACGTTATATGTGTACCTAAATTTAATGTAAATATTTAAAGTTTGAAGTTCTTGGGACTTTTAATTACTGCTGCTATGTTAAAAAGAGTAAAATTCTACTTCGTTAGTAGGAAAATATTTACGATGCAATTATAAGGGYATCGACTACCCCGAAGGTAGCGTATTTTTAGTGTTATTCCAAAAACCGTTATATTTATTATATTATTCGATTATATTTAACCATGTTATTATTCTTAATAATATTTTAAGTTGTATTTCTTAGTACCTATAAAAACATTATTATATTTCAGATTATTTTTATAGTAAATATATATATATATATTGTTTTTGCAATATATTTACAAAATATTTGTAAATAATGTTTAAATGAACTATGATTACTACAATCTATATCATCTTTTCATAAAAMTCATCTGTATATAATAGTTTTAAAAATTCATTTTCAATTATAAGTAACTAATATATATTATAACAATGAGTTGTCGCAACAAATTTTGAACAGACTGAATAACATTTCGGATAACGATTCGCATAAAACACGAAGACCTTAACAGAACTGTTTTTATAATATATATGTTTATTGGGAATATTATGACTACCTAACCGTCTTACATAATTTGTTGGTCGTTTGGTTGTTATTATATGATATTACTACGATTATCAAAATAAAATTACAATATCCAAAAAATTACAATTATATTGTATAATTATTGGAATATTTTTCGAATAATATTTTCCAGGCGATCAGACTTTTTCTAAGGGCACAATATAAATTATCACYCCTAAACGCAATATATATAGAGTTTACCTTTAATGAATTTGACCTTAGAGAGCATTTTGGAGAATATATACAAACCAAATCGATACATATTTAACCATTTCACATTAAGAGGACAACGTTGAAC